GCTCTAGCTGCAGACATAAAAAAAATTTTACTGCACCAGAAGAGATTCTTAGCCTAGCCAGAGAAGAGAGACATCTTCCAACATATTTGAGGTTGCAGCAGCAGCAGCAGCAATAACAACTAAACTGGAGAATTGGATGTGAGATGAGATTTTGGGTTGGTGGAAGCCAGTGTTGGCAGGACTGAGAACATTGTGGCCTTGAAGCTCAAGGGTGAGGTACTTGTGTGCACAATTTTGGAGCTGTCTTCACTTTATTTTGTTGTTGTTGTTAAGTGCCATTGAGTCATAGACGACTAATAGCGACCCTGTTAATGAAAGACCTGAGTAATGTTCATAGAGTTTCCAGAGGCAAGCCATTTTGGAAATGGATCTAACTCCTGATTGCTACTTTGAATTATAACTTTTTAACTCCCCTAATACGGATCTGTGAGATCTGTGGATTTTGGACCGAGCCAAGCAGTAAGATTGGTTTTGTTGCTAAGTGCTATCAAGTCACTAACAACTCATAGCACCCTTATGTACAACAGCTCTGGATCCTGCTCCATCCTGTGCCAACCTCATTTCTGACACCCCCACCCTATTTATTCCGGAGTCAATCTATCTCTTTGAGGGTCTAAATGATGGAAGAAAGAAAGGAAATAATAAATAAAGTTAATATTCCAGAGACAGAATGCCTGAGGAAATATATCAATACAGAGGAACATGAAAAGCTACAGAATATATTTCAAAAGATGGAAGAATTGATACTATAGATAAAGGGGTACAAGAACTTAAAAAAATCATCACAAAATATAGAAGGTGAGCTGAACACACTGGGGAAAACAGAAATTCATAAAAACACAATCCAGAATATCAAGACCAAAATTACAGAAGTTTCCAACATGTTGGAGTGACAAAAACAAACAAAAAAACAAAAAGGAAAAAAAGAAGAGATGGAACAGAAAGCAAGCTGAAAGATAAGAACTTCATGGGACTGTAAGAGAAGAAAAATCAGAGAGGAGACAGAAGGAAAATGATGAAAACATTAGATTCATGTGGGATAACGTCAAAAGGATCAGAATTACAGAACATGAAGAAGACAGAGGAAACACTGAGAAAATTGTGCAAGAGGCACTAGAAGTAAACTTCCCCAGAATTCAACAGCTATGCTCTATGGAAGTGTCAAGAGTCTGGTTTTGCAAAAATACACAACTTTGCAAACCTCCAATGACAGTTGTATTCTGCACGCTTCAATTTCCTGCGCGTCAAAGTCAACTCCACTACAATATATTTTGGTTTGGGGGTTTAATTCTTAATGTAAGAAATAGAAGGGAGCTCTGGTGGTCTAGTGCATAATTTGCTGTGCTGCTAGCAGAATGGTCAGTGATTTGACTCCAAAAGTCCTTCAGTGAGAGAAAAATGGGCAGTCTCTTAAAAATATTTCTAACCTCAGAAATCAGAGAATTTTCATAAATCAGAACTGAATTGGAAGCCATAGGTTTTAGTGTTTTGGTCTACCAATAAAAAAAGAAAATACCATGAATGCCTTCAGGATTCTGACATTTTCAGTTTAAGATTATACACTTAGTCAAAACACCAGTTAGACAAAATGCCAAGGCAAATATATTTTAAGGAATATTATTGTTGTTAGGTTTCATCAAGTCAAATACAACTCATAGGAACACTGTGAAAAATAGATCTGAATCCTGTCCTATCCTGTGCCAAATTCACTATCTCTAATACTTGAGTCCATTCCTGCAGTCTCTTTGTCAATCATATATAATACAAAAAGATTATCTCTCTCTGTCTCAAGCAAATATTGGATATCTCTCACAAAGAAAGGTGCATAAAAGAAAAATAAGAGCAAATAAGGAAACAAGAGAACCTAACTCAGAAAATTTACTGAGGGTGACAGCTGTGGGAGTAATTGAAAAGAGAAAACAGTACAGATTGGAGCTTTATATAAGAGTCCTCTGAGAAATAAAACATTCAGTAAAAAGGAAATAAATGGCTTGATACATTGGTGTATTTTGTTTACACAATGCTTTAGTCACATTGTCATGCAAAGACCTGATAGAACAACTAAATTCAAGCAACCAAAAGATAGGTATATAATAAGCTTTCATCATAAAAAAATTAGATTATCAACACTATGTGGAAAAATGGTTCAAAAATAGAAATACAATTATAGCTAGTTTTTAACTATAATATAAATAACAGTAAAGCTATAAGTATAAAAGTGGGACACATAATTGAGACGTTTCATAATGTAAATAATTTGCATATTCATCTAACATATATAAAACTCAATAAAAACATCTAAAAATTAAAGAGCAATCAAAGTATATCATGCAGAAATATGGAGATTAATGCCTGAAAAAATTAGCAATGCTATAATGATTACTTCAGAGCAGTTTGACTGCTGAGAGGGATACAATAGAGAATTTATGATTTTGTAAAAAAAATAAAATTAATTTTATTTTGGTTTGCATGCAAAATTCATACACTTTGTGTTTCACACTTTTCTTCATTCACATTGTATTTCATATAATTATTCTTATACATTGTTTTATAAAACTTATCATCACTAAATTATGCCCATCATTCCCTCACCTTTTCAGGTCTCATCTTGATCTTCTCTATTTACTTCATCCCCTCCCTCTGCTCACCAAATTGTGTGACTCAGTGATTGCTTGCCTATCTTCCCATCCTCACTCCTCTGTTCCTTCCTCTTTCCCCTTTGGACCTTTATACACATTTTACTATTTATCCTTCTATTTTTACAGTAATGGGCTTATTATGCAGGTTTTTGTTCTGTGAGACTGAGTTGGTTCACTCAGTATAATGCTCTTTAGTCTCTTCCATGCTACATCGTATTCTTTGAAATAGTTGCTTCTGAGTGCTGTGTGGGAATGTATTAGTTTTGTTGTCTATTTTTGCATTATTTGCAAAATATTTATTTTCATATTCAAATAAACACAAAAATTTATTACTTCAAGTGACAAATATTATAAAGTCATTTTTATTTTACATCAAAGATGAATATCTATGACTTTTAGGATTCAAGTTTTATAATTAAATTTGCGATACCTCCTTTAATTATTTGGGAGAATAAAAGTGTCTGAGATACTGTAGTTGTTAGGTGTCATTAAAATGACTATGACTCATAGTGACTCTATGAGCAACATATCTGAATCTTGTCCTATCCAGTTATGAGGATATTCATAATTCTGACTTTTTAAAAGTCTGACTATACCTATGTGCCTGTATGCTTATTTTGAGGTAAAAACTATGACAGCACAATTTTTGTAATCTATGGAAATATTAGGGCACTCTGGTAGCTTCTTCTGGTTACCTACCATCAAGTCAGAACTAATCCACAATGGACCCTTCAGTGGGATTTGGGTTTTCATTTTCAGAGGCAGTTAATGACACCAAAAGAGATTGCCCATCCTTTTCAGTGGAGCAGCTGGTGGATTCAAACCAAGTACCTCTGGAATTACAATGTAGCTTCTTACTACTAGGACAACAGAGCTCAGTGTATACCTAAAATATACAGTTTGAATCTACCAGCTGTTCTGTGCAAGAATGATGGGTAATCTCCTTCCCGTGTGATTTACTGCCTCTGAAAACACATGGGAGGGTCAACTATGAGTTGGTTCCAACTTAACGGTACTCATTAAAACACAGTAACATTATGTCAAGGCTTTAATACAGACAAAATTCACTTTATAATGCAAGAAAAATTGAGTTTTAAAAATAAGTTCATACAATGTATGAAACACTTTTGGAATTAATGGGGTATGCTTTAATTGTTCTTAAATAAGTAGTGGACCTTTGCTATCTTTTCTGGTAACCTCGTGTTAAGAAGCTGTGCTGCAATCCCAAAGACATGTGGATAAAAGCCACCAACTGCTCTGGGGAAGAAGGATGGACAATTTTCTCCTGTGTAATTAACTACTTCTAAAAACCCAGCTGGAGGGTCAGCTAAAAGTTAGTTTTAACTTAGTGGTATACAATAACAACATTGTCTCTTAAAAGCCATACGCACCTATGTTTATTTTGGCTTTGTTCACAACGGCAAAGAGTTAGAAACAACCAAAGTGCACATCAACAAACAAGTGAATAGAGAAGCTCTGGTATATTCATGTGATGGAATATTATGCTGCATTGAAAAACAAAAAAAACTCATGAACTATTTCACAAAATGGGTGACCCTGGAGGACATCATGCTGAGTGAAAGATCTGTCACAAAAAAGACAAATACCACATAGGCCCACTGTTATAAAAAGGACTGACATAGGAGTTGGGAGAAACTGAGAAATGTGGGATAAAAAATGTATAATGCACTGAAATAGATGAGGGAGAGAACTGTTTAAAAGGGATATGTGATTAGGTATTATTGCCATGACAGTAGTCCAGAATGAAGGTAGCATAGTGGAGTGGACTTGCAGGGAGGGACTGGATAACAATGAAGGAATTTTTCTTTTACTTTTCAAAAAGAAAAGCGAAGTGGAGGGAGGAGTGGGCAGGGAAAAAAAGTGCAACAATGAATGAATGGAAATAGAGAGTCTCTGTAAATTTTCATTAAGATAAAATTTTTTAAAAATCTGGTAATTTCTCTCAATTGAGTGAATGAATAATTTATACAGGACTACAATATTGTAGCTCTTAGAGAAAAAATGTAATTGTCTCTAAACACATAGTACTCTATTGCAGACTCAATAGATAAAATCCAATCCTTACTCATAGAAGACTTCTCTCTATAAAAGAAGACCTAAAGTACTGAGTATCAAGCAACAAATATTGTTAAAATACCTCCGATGACATTAAGATTATAGAAGACACTAGTGAAAGAGCATTGATTAATAAATATGCAAAACAGTTCTAGTAGCTTTTTATCTGTTATGTTTTAAAAGAAAATACATGACACCACAATTAAATTGTTTGATTAATATTCATTTGATTCACCATAGAGAGCATAACTTAAATGTGGTTTTGTTTTATTTTGTCTTTGCTAGGGTTTTACAGATGGAGACTTACTAAAAATTCAATTTGGAGGTGCCAATGTCTCTGGATTTCAGATAGTAGACTATGATGATTCTCTCGTGTCTAAATTTATAGAGAGATGGTCAACTCTGGAAGAAAAAGAGTACCCTGGAGCACATACAACAACAATTAAGGTTGGTTTGCATTAGTTTCTGCTTCTGTCTTTCCTATGTACACTCTGTGATGAAAAAATGGTCGTGGAAAATTTGAAGGTAGAGAATAAGCAAGAGATTGGAGAGCACACATCAGCATATGACAAGCCTATTGATTTCAAAGTATATTTTTCATGTCACAATTAAGAAATAATTGGTCCTGTTATTTTTCTCCATAGTTTTCTACTTCCCTTTAAACGGAATGTAATTATTGATTCATTTAGCTTTCTTTGCTTTAAAAATCTTTATTTATTGGCTTCTGGACAAGGTACTTGGATTATAGCAGCAAATAAAAAGTCTGATTTTGGATTCTGCTCATAGTGTAATGGAGGGAAGGCAGAAATTGCAGGATGAAAGCCATAGAAGAATAAACAGCAGGCTCAGTGAGACAGAGGCAGAGGAGAGTATCTTATACCCTGGGAAGGAGTTACTGAGTGGGTAGCTTTTAGACTGAGATGTGAAGGATTTAAAGGGAAAACAAAGTACTCTTTAGAAAATGTTTTTGCAACAAATTGAAGCATAATAGTTGCCAAGTTGTTAATAATTTAAAAAAACACATAAAAACACATTACATGTGGGTCTAGAGCCAATAAGCATATAACCACACAAATATTTATAAATCGATATTAATTAATAGTCTCTGATAATTCAGAAATAAGATAAACTTGATATTGGCTTCACTAATGAAAAAGTAATTTTAACATTTTCTTCAATCAAATGTCACTTTGATGTCTTAGTAGTAAAATGTTGCACTACCAACACAAAAGGTGTTTAACCCTCCAGCAGGTTTTCAGTGGAAGTAAATGGCATGGGTGGAGAGTACTCATCTTTCTCCTGCAGGGTGGCTGGTAGATCCAAACCATGTGCCTTTGGTATTGCAGTGCAGCTTCTCACTACTAGGCCAACAAAGGTCTAACACATACAGGTATGCAGTTTAGACCCATCAGCTGCTCTTCCACAGAAGAAGGATTTACTGTTTCTGAAAACCTGTTGGCTTAGATATGAATCAGTTCTGGCTAAATGTTAGATAACACCAATAACATGCACTCAACAAAGAGAATTTTAAAACACTGTAAGTAATGCACTGCTCCAATTTAAGTGATACTCAGATTAATTTTATCCTTTAAGAGTTTGGATGTCTTGTTTGTACATATGTCTATGGACATGCATGAATTTCACTCCTTATATTAAATATTTCTACAAATTAAAGTAAGTTTTATTTCACATTTGCTGATGACCTTATTGAGAGCAAGAGTGGAAACAAAACTAGATTAAAAGCCGTTGGGAATGAGTGGAATGAGATGGCATTGCAATTTTTCTTTTAAATACTAATTTTGTTTGTGGTGGTGTAACCTGTAGGGAGTTGTGTTTCTCTGTGTTTCAAACCTACCAACTACTTCGAGGGAGAAGGATGGGCAGTCTCTCTCCTCCCATGTGGTTTACAGCTGCCAAAAACCCACCGGAGGGTTAGCTGTGATTTGGATCCCACTTAGTGTTTGAGATAATAAACTGACTACATCTGATTTGGTCAGGAGCAGTGTTCTGTCAGTTGCTATCACAGTCAAGCTTGTTTTACTTCACAGGGAGATTTGGTTTATTTTTAACATAGAAAATGGGTATAGTTGATTTTGTTTGTTTTTAATGGAAAATTATAGTTGTTTTTCTTTAAATATGTGTTTAACTCTGAGATTGAGTCTGCTTAAGAATTACATTCAGAAAAGTTTCCAATTGGCTATTATGAAATGATTAATGGTTTTTGCTATGGTTTGGGGGTGGTTTTTTCTTTTTTTTTTTTGTATGTATACAATATTTTTTGTGTTTCTCTCAAAAAAAAATTTGGCTAACTTGGTGTTTACTGGCTTAGATTGAGATATAGTATTTATAGTCTATTTAGAACGTGGTTTTATGGTGACCTCATCATGAAACAGGACTGCTGGGAAGGCAAATGGTCACCTCATTTTTCAGTCTTCACTAATTTATATTTCTGCTTGTGCCTAGTAAAGGTCCAACTGCTGGTCCATTTTGTGGGATTTCAGGCTTCCAGCCACAGAGCTGGGGCCGTGATCAAGAGCACACATAGCCTTTTTTCAAATGGACCAAACATGCCCCTTTTGAAGAGGTGGTTAATCATATTGTTGCTTTCCTCTTCTGCCTGTGGTGGGAGGGATAAAAGCAGAATGATTTTGGCTTGGGTTTGTTTTGTTTTGTTTTTTTCTCCTGGAAATCATATCATTATAAAGTTCATGTGTCATGAATCAAAATACAAAAGCAAATAGGGCGAATGAAAGATATTTGGCAATACATTCTATTAGATTTGTGCCAAAACCTAGTGCCGGATTTCACTCTGTTGAAAGACTGCCTGATTTCACATTGTAGGTCCTTCTCTTTTGGTAGCTTTGGTGCCTTTTTGGAGAGATCTTTATGTTCCTTCATTGTACAAAGAGCACTGATTATGATTGTACTTTGAAAAGCCTTGAGTTCAGAATTACTGTTTGGATTCATTGTTCTTATTTTCACAACACAGCTGGCTATTAGTAACTATGAAATTTATCTCAGTTTAAGGTGAGTACGCACAGACAAAAAGAATGTTGCCCAGAATTGCACTATTTGACAGGGTACCTACATGGCTGGTTTTCTATGGGATTAGTGTAAGATTTCCTGAGCCTTTCTCCTTAGACTGGAAGCTTTACTAAAACCTGTTCAGCATCATAACAAGAAGCACACCTCCACAGAGAATGAGTAGTGATTCCACACTAAGTACATTTTCTTGGAATGGAATATTAAGTCTCCTACAAGGAAGGAAAGAATTCTAACACTGACTCACAATTGCTCCCACACAATGCAGTCAACCCTCATATTTCCTGTTTCTGTAAAGATTATGTAACACTCAAATTTAACACGCTGTGGAAGCAGTATGTGCTAATAATGGTTAATAATTTTCTCCTGCCCGTTTTCCCAGACAGTTGCCATCATTTTCAGAAGTGTAGTTCAATTTTAACATGTTGTGATCTCCCTGTCCAAGCTTACTGGGAAACCTTTGATGACTGACAAAGGTCACTAGAGGAACCGTGAGGAGAAGGTGGATTTCTGTAGGAGTTCACCCTAATACAAACATCTATTCTTCATGTAGTACAGGGCTAGTCATGAAAATAAAATTTTAAAAAAACCATGAAAAATGCATGAATTCTGCCCTTGAAAAGACACAGTGTAATGGAAAAGACAAACAGGTCAATAAGCAGGTACAGGAGAGAATGGTGTACATAAAATACATCAGCTCCTTGAATGCCGGAAAGGGCAATGAGGGGAAAGAGATCAGGAATATTCTTCCAGAGAAGTGACACCTGATCAGAGTTTTGCCTATGGTTGAACAGGAGGAAAAGGGTAGATGAAAATGGGTCACAATTAAAGCAGCTCAGAGTTTTTAAACAGCATGAGGTGTTCAAGAAGGTATGTGGTTTTGCTTGTTGGAAGAACAATAAATATTTGAGACAGGTGGAGAGGCATACTATAGGAGTGACAAGAAGTAAGATTCTCAAATTGTTCTAAGAGTCAGTACTTGCAGAACTTGGCTTCTTTGATTATTTCTGGTTTTACATGCAGAAAAATGGAAAACTCTGTAGAGGACTAGATGGTATTCCCTGCTTATAAACAATGGCATATTCTTCATAAATTATCTGTTTAGGAAAAGGAACAAAATTTCAAATATGATCATTTCCCCTCATGTTGTCTCTGAGTTATTGACTGTACCAGATACTTTATTTAATATTTTAAATTACACTTTACTGCATTATAATAAAAGCAAGCAAACATAAAGCAAGTGATGGAGCAATGAAAGGTTTTAAAAGCACAGTCCATTTCATCAAACTCTTGCCATGGCTGGCTGTTAGAAATGATAAAAACTATATCAAGCTGGTAAAGTATTAAATAAATTAGTGTTTCCAAGATTGGTGTTCTTTAAATGCTAATGCAGCTTCTAGCTTCCATAGCTTCTTAATTAAAACCATTTTTATTCAGTGAATAAAACAAAACAGTAAAATCAAAGAAACTTTCAATATTTTTGGCTGTGTCCCATTAAATTCTATGTAGATACAAGATATCTCTGGAGTGATGAAACTGACATTCTAACTTTAGCTCATATTCACTAATTTGCTAATTCAGAGAAGCATTTCATCATCCAGTATATATTCACTGAGTTTTTACTTCACTTAAATTGTATGCTAAATGCAAAGCGTGAGACAAAGATCTACTCTTTTATACATTTTTAAGATTTTTATAGTCTTCAAACTAAAGGTTAAAAGTTATTTTGTGGTGTAAATTGTCCTACTGATATGAAGAATCAGTGTATTAAGTATTAGACTTCCTATTTCCCATCACCATCTCCTGTCCAGACTCAGAAAGTGAGTCCTTTTACAGTTATATTCATTTGACAGAAACTTCAACTAAGTTGAAAATTTGAAATTGTCTTTAACTTTTCTTTCTTCTTCTAAAGAGAAAGGAGGCCCCCTTCTATTTAGAGGACTAGAAATGCTTCTACTTGAGTCTTTGCACTGGCTGTTCCTCATTATTGAATATTATGTCCATAAAATACTTAGTGAGGGTTCCTCATCATTTAAGTCTATTCAAATGCTATCTTCTAAGGAAGTCAACAGGAAGTTGTTGCTGTTGTTATTAGGTAACATTGAGTTGTGTACGACTCTTTGTGGCCCTGTAATGGGAGGTAGTCTTTTAAAAATGGCACTGTTTGGCATTTACTCAAAATTTGAACCTAGAAACTTCCTATGACCCAGGAATATAGCCTGAGGAAATTAGAACTGAGAGACAAATGGAGATTCATACACTAATGTTCATAGCAGCATTTCCCACCATCTTAAGAACATGGAAACAATCCAAATGTCCAGCCGAAATTGAATGGATTGAGAAATTGTGGTATATTTACACAATGGAATACTATATAGCACTCAGGAACAATGATTTTGAAAAAT